TTGTATTCCAAAGCGCTATTACAGGACTTGGCAAAAAGCCAAGAGAGCTGCACGCGACCGCGCCGCGCGGATGGTGTTAGCATAAACGTGAGGGCGGTGTAGCAAGGAATTACGACTTTCCCACGGCCCCGTACTCTGACCCCGTGCAGTTTTGGGCGGGGGACCACGACACATCGACAGCTGGGGGGCTGATAGTCTCATACACCCTCAATGTGTTTGAGCGTACCATGTGTCTTTAAGGAAACTTGAGGGTTTCTAGCTCTTTTACTAGACCTAGAACACTCCAACATAGAGAATTACCCGACAAATGTGTAAAGCCCTGAAAAGGACTCGGATAGTCAAAAACTTCTGAGTTGTGCTCATGGGTAAAACATTGGTGTCCCTGTTTTGCAAAACTTTGTTGTTTTGGTTTATTATAATTGGCTGGTTCGCTGTTGATTGGTAGATTTTATTAGTAAGGTGTTTCCCCATCATAACATGACCATCTCTTTTCTTTTTCACCGTAACCGCTATTTGGGGCGAATGAACGTCCCGGTGTAGTCTGTACAGGGTGTCGGTCTTTGAGTTTACACAACAGTCTCACGTTACCTTCATCAACTCACAAATAAACCAACAGTCGTAGGGAAAAACATAGGGTTTCGACCACCTGACCGTTATCCATCTAGGGAAGTTAAAATGGACCTGGTCAGCGGGTTACACGACTGGCTGCAAATGGAAGGAAAATAGGGACTGAAGTGGAATTCGTTGTAAGGAGTCTCCTTCTCAGCCGCCACAGTGGGACGGTTACGGTTACGCTGAGAAGGTAACGTTGCAGCCGGCTCGGCGTGCGCAGCATTCACACCAGTACTCAAATGATTCGATGTGGTAGCGCTTCTGTATGTCGACGATGCAAAAAAAAATGTCGGGTAATTTGTGCTCGCCGCCACAACTTGAATTTAATGTCCCATTGATTTGTGTATTGGTCCCAAGCGGAGTAGCTTGATTGATGGAGTTGTTGTGACAAGTAATAAATTGTTAACACATTTATGATAATAGTAAGTTCTCAGGTGTCGAACATCGCATTCGAGAAGAAGGTATTCGTCAGATACACAACTAACAATTGGCAATCCTATATGGATCGACAGGCAACCTATCAGCCATGTACTAGTAAGGTGTACGACACCTTCACTTTTGAAGTGGAATTACCCAAGGCAACCGATAAGGTGAGTGACTTTCAACTTGCTAAGGGTTTTTTTTAACTGATTTTGATGTCCTCATTCATGATGAAGCCATGTTCCTTAGTGGCTCGAAAATTTGACGCTATCCATTCATTTTCTACGTCCCAAGGATGAAGCTGTAGTGTCAGCGCCTCTCAATAATGCTAATCGCACATGGTCCGTTGGCATTCCTATGCCAATTCCTATTTCATTTCCCACTAGTCCTTCCAAAATCCACGGAATGCCTAGTGAACACGTCCCCTACCTGTAATTAATGTCAGTGGACGCGTAGAGGGTTCAATAGACTCAGCCGTGGGATGCGCCACGCACAAGACCTCATCCACATTCATAGTAATACTCGACGTCATGTTGGTCATTTAAACAGCACTCTGAGTCTCCCTCGGGTGTGGAGCATGTGAAAGCACTTCCGCAATGGGATAGGTTCTGTTTAGCCACCGCTACAGTCCCGCTTTTAACCATTATCTCGCGCACGTCTTGTCACAGTTCTGTTGACTACTGGTTTCTCAAAACACGACTCCCCCCCCCTTTCCAGCGAGCCGGATACGATTCCCTCATCGAGCATTCCTCAACGGATCTTGACCCTGTCCATTATACTAGAATCTGCCAGTTCGTACCAAATTCGTTTTGGGGGATAAAAACGGTAACTAGTGCCTGAGCTGGCTTCCATAAGTCACTGTGTAGGCCAAATCAGGTATACTAAGCCGCTGCTATTCAAAATGGGACTGAAATACTATGTGGAGCGTTCCGAATAGGGTTTATTAAACGCCAAAAGCTTTGCCTTGTACTTACTTACTTACTCACTGCACTCTGCTCTCGCTATCGTTACTTTGCTGAACTACGGGAAACCAGCGGAAGAGGCATGAAACCTGCATAAGCTTTGACGATTACTCATGAGGTATCGAATCTGCTCGAGTTACGATGAGCGAGAAAGCGGACTCAAAA